ATGAGTGGTAAGAAGAATGGAGGTGGGATCAAGGCATTGCCACCTCATCTAGCCAGGGATGGGCTATGAGCATGAGGCGCGAGTGCTACCTCCTCCGGGTACTACCAGGCAAAATTCTCCGGCTCTGGTGCGCTGTGCATGCACACAACTATGTGGAATACACAGCTGCATCTACTCGAAGAAGAACAAAGCAGTGTCCACATAGACTGAAGGAAAATAGTACTAAGGAAATAGATTTCAGGGTCACAAGAAGTTATTATAAATACACTGTAAAATAAATGATATTTTATAAAATATGAAGAATACTTTTAAGTAAGTCTCTCAAAATAATCTCATGAAAATTTTGATTTATGATCACTGAAGCGTGGAAAAACACTACTGTCTCAGACAAGGAAACTTTTCTTTTTCAACAATATTAACCTTTCACTTTACATGTCTTAGTAGAGGTCTCTCTCTTTAAACACAACTACTTAACCACATGTTTTGTAAGAGTTTATATCAATCTCTAGATATTACTAAACATTTATAAAAGGAATGCCACCAATATAAAGTAGCTTCACAGAATTTACATTAAACCCAAACAGTGTTACATATATTTAAACAGGGATTTAAACATTTGCCATTATTTTATTGAAGTTCCCCCCCCCCACAAAAGTTACCTTGTTTTAGTTATTCCCACACAGTTATAGCCTCAAAGTTCTGCATCAAGAAAAATAGTAAGATGTTAGCCTCTCCATCCTAAAGATAGCCTATTTCCACCAAAGCATCTCAGCACATTATCTTTTTATTCTATACAAAACTGATACTAACAAACATTAAGAATGCAAAATTAAGCACTAAAGAAGTCAAGAAACGATAAGGCTAGGGTTAATTTTCAAAAAGATATTTTATCAGGAAAGAAAGATTAGGCTTTTGTTTTTAAAATTAAAACTTGTTTTCTGCTGAAAACGTTTGAAATCTGAAATATTCATTTAGGGCTTAATCCTACAAACACTTAAGCATGTCCTTAATTTAGTGCACTGAGTCATCCCACTGAAGTCAAATTTTAAATGTACTTATTTATAGTATTTAGTGATTGCATTTCACTCAAATTAGTCAACGAAAACAGACTAGTCAGTTTCAATTAATGATTCTCATGTATTAGCACAGAGCTAAAATATATTAATTGCAAATAATCCATGGAAATATTTACAGAAACAAAACTTTGTACTGAAGTAAAAATAAATCATGTAAATATTTATATTAAAATGAGATTTTGTACAACTTTGGGGCTTGATTCTGCTCCCATATGAATCACTCTAAAACCATTTATTTTAATGGATTTACACTTGATTAAGCTCCAAAGCATGTATGTGAGTACTTAAATCCATCCCTATTCAGCAAAGCCCTTACACACATGCCTACCATTAAGCATGTGCTTAAATTACATACTCTGCTGAACAGGGATAGAATGCTGGTGAGAGGAGAATCTGACCCTCTGTTGTTTCAGCCTGATCTTCTTGAAAGTATCCTTTTAATGCTACACATACTAGTGGGAGCATTTCTGTCCCTTAAGTTTATCTGAATTATTGTTTCACAGTATATCTTTTGAGTCTGAACACACATTATAATAAGTGGTATCATTTTACATTATTGAGGCAAAACGAAAATCATCTCCCATGGCGGTGGGTTTGAGGTAAATTTACCATTAACTCTAGTTGCTCCCACCATCTGGCAGACCCACAATGTAACCATTTTCCAAATCCATTAGGAAAAAGCCTTGCGAAATAATCACACTAAATTGAATATATTGGTTATTTTGGAAGGGGTTTGACCAAGGGAAGTATTATAAGTCATGCGTGTGATCACTATACTATTGCCAGAAGCAAAAAGTGTAGCATGTTTCATCAAGTAACTCAAAAGTTCTACACTGTTTTGGGACAGGAGGCTGGATGGGTAGGAAGGTAGAATTTTGCCAGTCTATGAAAGTCAGTTGGGACGAACAACAGTATTTCCTTCCATCATATTGCACATACAGGAAACATGAATATTCCATTTGCTAACATTAGGTGTTATTTTCAAAATTGAGAAGTCAACACTTCATTACATGCAGCTGCAAGTTGTTGGTTCTCTGACTAGAAAAAGAATGATGTTTTCCCCTGATTAACTGCTTTTATCATCTCTGATGATCAATTGTACCATTTACCAGCTAACTGCCATGATTAATGTTGGTGTTGTGTCTTCTTGTAGTTAGCTACATAAATACAGCTGCAAACTTTTCCTTCCAAGACTGATGTGGATTCGGTGTATTCAAGTTTGGGAAAGTGGAAGCATGCACAGTTCATATATACCATCTCTGCTTGGAAGATTTGAACAGCCTTACAGTGAAAATATTATGTGATAAAGTTCCTCCTCTCTCTTGGTGGGTCCTGTGCTTATTGGTGGATTTTCTTGCCTCAGAGATTCACCATGTGGGTTGGGGAACAGCCCAGAGACCTTCCCCTCTGGAAGAACCCACAGTCCAGGTCAATTGGGAGGTTTGGGGGAAACCTGGGCCCGCCCTCTACTCCGGGTTCCAGCCCAGGGCCCTGTGGACTGCAGCTGTCTATAGTGCCTCCTGTAACAGCTGCATGACAGCTACAACTCCCTGGGCTACTTCCCCATGGCCTCCTCCAAACACCTTCCTTATTCTCACCACAGGACCTTCCTCCTGGTGTCTGATAACACTTGTGCTCCTCAGTCCTCCAGCAGCACACCCTCTCACTCTCAGCTCCTTGCACCTCTTTCTCCCAGCTCCTCACACTCACACCACAAACTGAAGTGAGCTCCGTTTTAAAACCCAGGTGCCCTGATTAGCCTGCCTTAATTGATTCTAGCAGCTTCTCCTTAATTGGCTCCAGGCGTCCTAATTAGCCTGCCTGCCTTAACTGGTTCTAGCAGGTTCCTGATTACTCTAGTCCAGCCCCTGCTCTGGTCACTCAGGGAACAGAAAACTACTCATCCAGTGACCAGTATATTTGCCCTCTACCAGACTCCTGTACCCCACTGGTCTGGGTCTGTCACAATTAGTAGTAATTTAGTTTTGAATTCCAGGTTTACAACATGTTTATTAATAGGTTCCTGTAAACTGGTGTGGAATTCCGGTTCAAAAACTAATGAAGATGAAAAGGTAAAATTAAAAGTCAATTATTCTCCATCATGTAGTTTAACTACTCCATAAGAGTGAAATTAATTTCATCCACATAAAAGCCAAGTAATCAGACTTTATTTGAGTGAACTGCACAAGGGCTTAGACAAAAGGAGTGGAAAAGCAATTCACTCCTGCAAGCTAGGGCTTAGAGTGAGAAGCTACAGTGAAGCATTCCTGTGATCATTATTCAAACCTATGGATTGGAATAGCCCAGTAACACCTCTGTGCTCTTAGCCCAGGGTATGAGGACACCTGGCTATACGTAATTGTATGGCCCTTCTTGTGTACTGCCCCATCACCACCTTGATGGTAGGGTGACCAGATAGCAAGTGTGAAAAATCGGGACCAAGGTAGGGGGTAATTGGCGACTATATAAGAAAAAGCCCCAAATATCAGGACTGTCCCTATAAAATCGGGACATCTGGTCACCCTACCACCTTCTGTCCTGGCCTACACAAGGCTAATGCAGAGCATCTCTGCAGTGTGCAGCGAGTTCAGATGCTCTCTTGCATGGTTGCTTGATTAATGCCCCCATATTTCTAAAGGCCTACCAAAGGAATTAAACTTCTAAATTATAGAAGAAAAATAATTAAAAAATGTAATTATGATAGTTAGTTATAAGAATCTTGCTCACGCAAAAAGCAAGAAATTTGTACTCACATTTTAATTTCAAGTTTAAATAAAATAAGTTATGTTTTTATTCTAATGCATTTGATTCAGAGACTGAGTCAATTATATGGGCATCTTTCTACCTCATAGAACATCATAATATCTTGTTTTATGAACGTCAAGCACACTTTGCTAATGTACCTATACACCACGAGGAAGAATAGAGTGATAAGTTATTCTTGAAACAGAGAGCCATATTCAGATCAGTTACACTGGTGTAAATCTGAAGTAACACCATTGATTTAAATTGCATTACTCCAGATTTACACCACTGTAGCTGAGATCTGAATCTAGCCAGGCAAATTTAGACTGATCATGTGATGTGATCAATAAGTTTTTCTTGGAAAGATTCTTGACAATATTATTGTTGCTATTATATGTCCCACACAGCTCCTCAGTGTCTGACAGGGTCTATTTTGCAACAGAGTCAAAGTATTTTTTTAGACAGATTTTCATCAGACTCACTCCTCATAAAAGTCTGAATATACTATGTTCAGGTGGTCTGGTTTTCAATGGGAGCTGCAGATGCAGGTTTTGCACCACTGGAAGAAAAAAAAAATATATTAAACCGTGTATTCCTATAGTTCAATTTGCCCTGTAAAAATGTTTCCTTTTTTCTAAACTAGGGTGCCCAGTGCATGACCCAAATGCAACTTGTGAAGCACTAATATGTAGCCAGCAGCTGCAGACACACTGTATTTGCAAGACTATGACAAAAAAACTGATCAAGTAGAGTTTTTTAATGTATGTGCATTATTTACCTCAGAGAAACACATTTGGGCATATTTGTTCTTAGCCAAACATTACAACCTAACACTTAGGGCTTGCCTACATGGAGACACTTGAGAAAGTTAACCCAGTTAACTAAATCTCCTGTGTGGATGCTCTTATTCAGAAGTAAAGCGTCCACAGTTCACTTTAGCTGTAGCTTCTGAATGAAAGCATCCACACACAGGGTTAATACGGTTTAACTAATGCACTTTAAATTCACACCTTTAGTTCATTTGGGTTAACTTTCCTAAGTGTTCCCATACAGACAAGCCCTTAAAAACATTTTTAAGGCCAATAAGCCATTAGAAGTATTAGTACTGTACTTCATTCAACTACCAAAAACATAACTTACACGACACATACAAAACCACATTTATCAGCATATTCTTACCTCCACGATCCCGCGCTGCTAAATTTTGACCCCTTTTTAATGTAATGTCCAACTGGTACATTCCGGTATCAGCCAAGGGAAAATCTGCATTACTAGTTCCAATTGTATTTGTTCTCTGAAAGGCAAAAAAACCAACAAAATAACTATATAATACGTATGGCAGAATAAAGAACAAAAAATACATCCTAGAACTAAGGCTGCAGAACCCCAAGCCCACACAAAGTCCCTCTGACTTCAGTGGAACTCCTCACAGGGGCACCAATATGCACTCACATGGAGTTAATTACAGGTTTGTAGTCTAATGGAGTGAAGCCAGGCAGATACATTCACGAAGAGAGCTCTGAACTTCCCACCCAATCTAGACTGGTACAGAACAAGTAATGTATGTCACAGTAGTGGTGACTACAAAATAATCATTGTTAGTGGAAGCCCAGCTGGCTAATTCCTAACATATTATTATTAGCAAACTCTTAGCCTATGTCTACACTACTAGCTAGGGGTGAGATTCCCATCTTGCATACATATACTCATGCTAGCTCTCATTGAACTAGTGTGAATATAAGTAGCAGTGTAGCCACAGTAGCACAGGCAGTGGTGGCCCAGCTTAATCAATCCCCCCGAAACTGGTGGAAACATCCTTGGCATGTCTCCTATCACTGCCGGTGCTACCGTGGCTATGTACCAAAGTGGCAGGTTTGCCAAAATAAGAAAGGGGAATCTGAAGGGAATAAGAGGACAGGAAAGGAATGGAAGCATTCATACACAAAGTATTGAAGGAACACTCTGACCAAACTTTTAGTATTATTTATATAACACCACTGATGTCCATGGCATTTCAACAAATAGACTCTTTCTAGAAATATCAGTATAGGAACTGCAGGTGTTCTCCATACCATTCCGTCTTCATCTTGTCTGAATTCCAACAAGTTCTCTCTAATTACACCATCCAGGGGACAGCTTCCCAGAAAATATACAATCATTCTGAAAGCAGAGACCCTGGCTATATTTTCATAGCTTTTGCAAATTTCCTTTTATTTACAGCTGTCGAATAGTGACATGTCATATCTGTTATAAAATAAAATTAATGGAGCATAATTCTAATTTCACTTTGTCTGGTGTAAATCAGAAATAACTCCACTGAAGCCTATGGTGTTACACTGGTATGGGATCAGAAGCTGGTCCATAAAAGCATTATCTTCACAATTAAAAACTGCTAACCCCTAAAAAAAAAAAAAAATTGGCAGATAAATGGATCCCACTTTCACTTTAGACTATTCCCACTTGCACTGGGTTTCTGCTACTTAGAGAACAAACCAAACCAAAAAGAAACCAATGTAAGTTCCTCAGATGCCAACATCTGCTCCTTATAATAGGAGTTTCCACACCTGGGAAACCTAAAATCCTCGAGGATGGTGCAGCATGGTCCCCTCTCTATGACCAGCCAGCCAGGGAGAGCAAGATTATAGCCCACCTTATTTCTGCCTTCTTTGGGATGATTAACGCTCCAAAGTCACTGGTAGCAATCTAGCCCTCTGTGTAATCAGCCTTTGAAATAAATAATATTTTTCCTTTTCCCATTTTTACTTTAATTTTATTCTGTTCATTTTTTCATAATTTGTTTTGTTCCGATAGATACAGGAAAGGCTATTTTTCTTTTATCAGGGGGTAGCCATGTTAGTCTGTAGCCACAAAAACAACAAGGAGTCCGGTGGCACCTCAAAGACCAACAGATTTATTTGGGCATAAGCTTTTGTGGGTAAAAAACCCACTTCTTCAGAGGCATTATGCTCAAATAAATCTGTTAGTCTTTAAGGTGCCACCGGACTCCTTGTTATTTTTCTTGTGTTATTCAGGCGAATAACTACAGCTCAATTCCTGGAAGTTCCCGATTATTTCAAGAACTAGTAAATTCCCACATATATTAAAGCCTTAATTTTGACCTTTTATAATTTATGGATCCAATGAAGTAGTTAATGGATAAAAATGGTGTTGTTTCGACAGATCTCTCTTGGCTGGTAGCTGAGGGTTAGATTTTAGCATCAAAGCTCTGCTCTAAGTTCTTATGGGATTTTTTACACCAAAGTTAAAAAAATGTTATACTTGTACCATGTTGATAATTTGCCAGTAAAACTTTTCACATTGATTAGAAAATTCAAATGAATAAAGCAAATTAAAATAATGTTTGACCTAACTACATGGTCCAGTAAACACTATAAATTTGCAAAGCAAAACAAAGTGAAACTCATTTGTAACCATTTGATTCTGAAACAACTCTTCCTTTCAATATGCATATGGAGCCACTGAGGGTATTAGGAAGAGCTGGGTGTCATCAACATGCTTAAAGCACCTCAGCTCCCATCTCTTCACTAGCACTTGATCCAGGCAAGACAGTCAATTGCCTTGCCCAGTATTTGGATACGAATGGGGCATGGATAAGAATTAACAGACAGACTCAATATAGAGAAGATCATGGTGATGTTAGTTGGTTAGGGGAAACAAATGGAAAGCTGGTGAAGATAATACCAACTTTTCTGGTCGGGGAGCATGTAAGCCATTGAGTCACAAAGCTCCCAGCAGCAGAATTCCAGTGCCTTTCTTCAGGAATAGGATTATTTCCCAAAACTAAAACAATCCAGTATGAAAGCCCCTCCCAGGGCCAAAAAGAGGGTGAGGCATAACTGCTACACTCTGAGGCCTAATAGGATGTGGGGACGAGACACTCTACCATAGACTTGAGTAACCTAGACAAGACCATATAGACTAGCAATGCTTCCCCTGGCAATGAAGAGCCTGTGTGAGAACAAACAAAATCAGGAGCCTCCCAGGTTAAATAGGAGACACTACACAGCACATCTAGAAACCAAAGCTGGTGCAGAACTTGGCAACTCATTTGTTCAGGTCTCACCTGAAGAAGAGCTCTGTGTGAGCTCAAAAGCTTGTCTCTTTCACCAACAGAAGTTGGTCCAATAAAATATATTACCTCACCCACCTTGTGTCTCTAATATCCTGGGACCCACATGGCTACAACAACACTGCAAACAGTAAGTGGTAGAAAGTCGAGCCATTATCTCTGCATTAGGAGTGGTGCTTATTCAACTAAATGATTAAAAATGGAGACAAACTATAGATATGCTTAGCAAATGAACCACCTTTCCAATTATCTTTAACAAACATAAAAAATAGCAGTCAGAAAATGACTATTAGTACATAGGGATCACTGAAAGGCTGCTGTCTCCTTTGGAAAAATGTTAAGACAAACTTTATGACCAACAGATTACAAAACACTTCATAGCATAAGCGTTCCAGACAAAATCAGAAATAATACCCAGGGATTAAAAATCTTGCTATTGAAGTGTTTTACAAGGATTTTAAACTTACATTTAGGGATTTGTTTTAATCCACTATTTTATGTCTTGGGTCTTACTGAAATTTATGTCCAAATAAGTTGCTCCCTATGTACTCAGGACCATCCTAGCCTATAACACTGTAGCCAAAATGAAAGTCAGCATTCAATGGTTGAAAGGCAGCTTTCAGCCCTCGTGCCATTTGTTGCATACATAAAAAAACACAAATCAGGCGGTCTCAATTTGCAACAAGAAACCTGGGAAGTGTCCTTCAGAGACTAGAAGCTTCTCTGAATCTACTGGTTAATAGCGTCAACAATAATTTCTTAAAACTCCCACACTCCACCTTGTCACTTGAAGTGAGAAGTATTTTCTTCCACACAAGTATCCAAAATAGACACCCCAGAACCAGACCTATATCTTTATTGTGACATCTACCATTCCTTTAAGTTAGTACTGGAAGATAAAGCTAAGACATCTGAAGAAGCAGAGTCTGAAGGAAAATTTTGTCTTCCTCTCTAGCATCCTAGAATGTAGTGAGGGTCTTGAAATATATTATCTTCACTATGAAGTCAAATAAAAACATTGGAATGGCAGATAGCAGAAGGCCTTTACACATTCTATGAAACAGAAGACATTAATCATTAAGTGTTTAAGCTCTCAGACAACTAGAAATCCTCTAAGGGAAACAATGCTTGAACAACTACTTTTCAGCTGTATACTGCACTTTGAAATTGCTTTGTTATGTTGGTAGTTTGTCTCATTCTATTTAGGAATAATCTTGTTAGCTAAATGATATTACAGTTCTTGGATCCAACTTAATTCACAATGAAAATATGGATGAATTTTTCTCTCAAAAGAAAACAGTTTATTTAGCTAATACAACCATCATTGCCCTAGAACTCTGAAATAGAATAAAAATTGTACAGAAACATGAGCATGATGAAAAGAAGATGTCTGATTAAAAAGATCAGGAGAGATATATCAATTATAACAGTATTTTATGTTTAGAAGACATTGCATTAAACTCTCTTGATCAGTGCTTTTATCAAATCAGTGAGAGTGCTGCTTTAATTTTCAGTTAAAACTCTAAACCGGCAGTACATTTTTCAATAGTCTAAATTTAAAATAAATGGATCTTCAGTTATAACTTGTTACTGACTCGTGACATTTTTAAATGAATTTTCTTACATGTCCTAAAAATGCATAATTTCAGTGAGTTTTGTCTAAATTCACAAGCAAAAACCTTTAGTTAGCGTTAGTTAAGATTGCTGTGAATAATAAACTGAATCATAAAAAAATGGGAAATACAAAATTAAGGATTAAAAAGTATTAAAAGGTTTCAAAGTCAAGCACTCTTAAGTTAGGATATGCCAGAATGAATGTTGCCCACGCAACCTTAATTCAGCCCCCATTATGATACAGCCTTTAATTACATGCAGAAGTGACTATCTGAAAAGTTTGGTGTAAGTGACGGCATCACATAGGAACTCAGTGGCAAAGAGACAGACAGACTGCATCTCCATAGGGGCATTCAACTGCCTTAACCATAAGATTGATACTCCTTTCTCTCACTGCAACCCCCTGCCTCTTTCACTACAAATCTTCAAACTTCAGGTGAGCCAAGGTTCCTATAGACAACAGCTTACTTCACTACACAATGCTGAGTAGATCTGCCCTGTGCACTGAATGAACCAGGGGTCCTTTTGAAGATGATAAACAACTACCCTTTGAAAAGAAACACCATAACTTATTCCAGTACAAATGGCTA